TTTTGACATGAATTTAAGCTTCTTGTTGTTGTTATGGGCCGTGGAGTTGGTTCCTACTCATAGCGACCCTGTACAGGGTTTCTGAAGCTGTAAATCTTTGAGGGAGCAGAAAGCCTCATCTTTCTCCCATGGAACAGCTGGTAGTTTTGAACTGCTGACCTTGAGGTTAGCAGCCCAATTTGTAACCACTATGCTACCAGAGTTCATTTTGACATTAGTGGTTGGTGCGTAAATTTGAATAATAGTCAAATCAACTGGTCTTCCTTGAAGGCATATGTATTTTATCTTGTCACTGACAGTATTGTACATCAGGATAGATAGATCTTGAACTGTTCTTTTGAAAATGAATGTAACATCATTCCCGAATAGTGTTGTTGTTGTTGTTGTTGAGAATTGTAGAGTCAGTTCCAACTCAGAGCAATCCAGTATAGGGTTTCCAAGGAGCAACTGGTGAACTCAAACCACTGATCTTGCAATTCAAAGGAACTTTGAAGTCCAGTGCATTAACCCACAGCTCCACAATAGGACCATATGATTGAGTCAAAATGGCTAATATCAGATCATTCAGCTCAATAATGCCTAGAATACTGGTCTTCATGCATTTTATTTCATTTTTTATGACTTCCAGATGCCTAGGTTCATACTTTGTGCATTCCATGTTCTGATTATTAATGGATGTTTACAGCTATTTCTTCTCATTTTGAGTCATGCAAGCCAACACCATATAACAAACTTACAGACAAGGGATGGTGATTATTTATAGAAATAAGTAAATGGCATATCTCTTGCACATGTGATGTGTAAATGTGTCATGAAACTTTACAGTTTCTCTCACCTATATTGGCATTTCTATCTTTGTTGATTTGTTGGATGGAAGCAAGATCACATACAACAATCAGACTGACCCACATAACCCCGTAGAGCAATGTGAGCTTATTTTCTGTTTGTGTTTCCAAAGATATTTAGTGGATAACTAACTATAATTTTCTATGCTATAATTGCTGAGGATTACCAAAGAAGAAGAGAGAAGAAACAAGAAAAAGGAGGAGGAAAAAAACCTGACATTTCATTTTGAAACTCTAATGCACCAAATACTTTGCTATGGACCTTAATATACTCATGACTTCATTTCAGGAGTCTTAGTGTGTGCTGTAAGATAAGCAATGGACTGTAAAACACAACATATGCAGTTCAAACTCACCAGCAGCTCCTCAGAAACTCTATACAGGGTCACTGTGGGTTGGAAACGACTCAATGGCACAAGAACAACAACAATGTATCAAGTATTTTGCTATAGACCCTAATACACTTATTACTTCATTCATAGCAAATATTATTTTGCAATAAAAAATAATATTTTCCTATAATATGTAATAAGTTACAAATTGTTGTTGTTGTTATGTGCCGTGGAGTCGGTTCCGACTCATAGCGACCCTGTACAGGGTTTCTGAGGCTGTAAATCTTTACAGGAGCAAAAAAACTCATCTTTCTCCCATGGAACTGCTGGTAGTTTCGAACTGGTGACCTTGCAGCTGGCAGCCCGATTTGTAACCAGTACGCTACCAGAGCTCCTTAAGTTACAAATTAGGGTTCTAATAATTTAGGGGGGGGGAAGAGATCCCATCTTAAAATATATAAATATTATGCTGTTATTGTTATTAAATGCCATCGAGTTAGTTCTGACTTATAGCAACCCTGTATAGGGTTTGAACCGCCAACTTTTTGATCAGCAGTCCAGGACTACAGAACCATACCAGGACTCCATATAAATATTATTAGTGTTATTGTTGTTGTTGTTGTTAAGTGCTGGCAATGGATTCTGACTCATAGCAACACTGTATAGGGATTCCAAGGAATGACTGGTGAATTTGAACTGCCAACTTTTCAGTTCAAACAACCTTGCAGTCCAGTGCATTAACCTACAGCACCATACCAGGTCTCCATAAATATTATAGAGGCACTTTATTAAATCTTAAGCAGAAGTAAAAATAAGACAAAACAAATATAGATCACCCAGGTGAGGGAAACTATCAATATGATGCCATGTTGAATTTCAAAATTCTACCTCAACATGGTCGTCTGTTACAAAGAGAACAAAGCAAGGCATTGCAGATGCGTACTTGGCCTACAGAAGCAGGGAGGGGATGGTTGTAAATAGGAAAGCTTACAGGCTCTGTCTGAGACTTCCACAGTATGAGTTCACAACCAGGTGACCCTGCAGCCATCAAAGCCCTTGAAAGGGACTTCCTGTTCTTTTTGTGCTGTCTGGAGAATGTGACACAAAACTGACTTTTCAAATATACTGCTTTTTACTTTGGCACTTTGGCAGTCAGAGTTCATGAGGAACTCAAGAAAAATTGGCATCTGAACATTTAAACCTGGGCACAAGATAGAACTAAGCTCTGCCTGGCTAGAGTCATCTCAGGCAGAAAGCCTTCAGATTCTGAGATAATTTTATAAATAATGGATATCAGACATTTGTTCAGTACACACTATGAAGCTATCATATGAAAATATTGATTCCAATGTGTTGGTGGTGTTACTCCTTACAAAACAAAAGGATATGCAAATACACATTAAAATACTGGAGGCTTCAATTCAGCCAGAAAGGGGTGCTATAATAAGCACTGGACTGCCAAACACAAGGTCTGCAGTTCAAACCCATCAGCAGCTCCTAAGAAACCCCCCTATGAGTCAGAACTGATTCCATGGCACTTAAAAACAACAAAGTGAAAAAAATAATCTCCTCATTATTCCTCATTATTTACAGTGATCCTCAAAGTTTAATAAACCCCTGGGGGAAACAGTTGTTGCTGTTGCTAAAGTGCCATGAAGTCAGTTCTGACCCACAGCAACCCTGTATAGAGTCTCCTGGAGCAGTTGGTGAGCTTGAACCGCCAACTTTCTGGATCAAACCAACTTTTCAGTCCAGTGCATTAACACTCAGAGCCACATGACTACCTAAATGGATTCCTCACACGTTTGGCTCGCAGATCGCCTTGGTTTCCTGGCTCACCCTTCTCTGTCTCTCGTGACCCATTTCCCTGACACTGAGCAGAAACATCCTGAAGCAGGGAAATGGAATGTTACATAAACACAGAGCTCACACAATACTAACAGGTCCACTAGATAGCCTTTGCCACACCCCTGTCCCCTCCCCCACCAGAGGATTGACATGATCTCAAAATCAGAGACAAACTCAGTTAAATACTTACTTTTTTAAATGGCTACAAATAAGCATAATCCTTACTGAAATCTTTCAAAGAGATGTCAAGATGTTGATTACATTTTGTATACCCAAATGACCTGCAAACTATCTGTCCACTCACCAAATCCAACCATGAAAACGGGTCTCTCTGTGGCCATTCTGGTCCATCTAATACCTCCACAAGGTGTCTCTCCCAAGTCTCATTCACTTTTGAGAGCTTCTCCACCTAGTCTTTGCTTCTATGATTTGCCTCCCATCTTTCCTTTGTAAACAATTCTAACTTTTTGCTTTTGCAATATTCACTCTTTACCCATAATGAGTTCAATCTCAGACTCTGACCTCATTAAGCAAAGACAAAATTCTCCTAGGAGGGGAGACCATGGCTGTGAGCAATTATACATTACATTTTTGATCCTGTTACAAATACACATATACAGAATTTTTTAATATTTTCACTTCAAACCAGGAGTACATCTACAAAGATTTAGGGATATTTAGACCACACATTCAGAAAACTGCTCTAAAGCAATTATTCCTTCAGCAACTAGCAGGCAGTCAGAATATGAGGAACAGAAGATCAATATGTGTAGACCAGGAAGAAATGGGAAAACCAAAACCAGAACCGAAAAGATAGGATTCTCCAGGTCAGAGAGATCCAGAACCAAGGACTGGATTTAGGGACTCCTAAACTGGCTGGTGTCATTTCTGAATCTTCTGAAGACCTGCCATGCCTCATCTACAGTCATCACCTGACTCTGATCCTTCCTGAAAGATGAACTCTCTATTGTCACTGAGAGCAAAAACTATGTTTCAGAGCGTACTGCTAACCCCAGTAGTGGTTTGCAGTAAAAAAAAAAAAGACCCGTATAATAGGAGGAGTCACTGCAGTCTTAGGATAGAGGTTACAAAAGTGACAAGGAGTTCAGGGATGCCAGTGTTATCCTGGTGGGGACCAGTGATAGAGGAGGACCCAGGCTAAAGGCAGACACCCATGGAGATGTGGGAAGTAAGATCACAACTAGTTAAGAGTCACTTACCTGCATACAGCTGGACCTTTCTCCAGGCTGAAAGAGAACACACCCTAGTGAGACTACAGTCATAATCAGCATGAATCCCCTGGCCATCCACCACCCTAAAGGTGATCACTATGCAGAGGGAGACAGATACTGGAAAAGAGATGATGAACAGTTGAACGCAGAGTTGGGCAGGGATGGTAGGAAATTTCCATGACCACAGGTCAGGGAACCAGAATTACACTTCGAGTTCAAGTAGCTTTACTGTAGGACTTTGGGCAAGTCTCTTACCTGTTCTGTTCCTCAATAACCTTGAAAACTCCTGTTCTGCCTGCATTCCACTAATAATCAATAGTACATGTGAAGTCCTTTTCACCAGTATAAATTGCTCTATAATTGTTAAGAAAACACTGTCATATCTAGTCACTTTCTGGAAAATATGAATGTGGAAAAATATCAGAAAGAGGAATGAAAATGGACAAAGACATATGACCAGCTCCAGGTAAAATTAGCCAGCCCATCTCAA